ATAATATTTAAAAACAAAGAGTTTTTGCATCGTAATTCTAAAATAATAATCTAAATTGAGATGAAGGCATAAATAAAAATATGGAGTAGATAACAAAAACATTTTTAATAATTAATATATGTATATATATATATATATATATATATATATATATATAGATATATAATTATTTATTTGAATAAATAGAAATATTTTCATGATAAAAATATATAAATAAAATACTCCCTCCGTCCCAAAAAGATTTACACCTTTCAAAAAAATTGCGTCCCACAATCTCCTACCCATTTCAATTAAAAAACCACTTTTACCCCTTACTTTTTCAAACCATACCTATCACATCATATCTTTTTCCTAATAGTCTACACATCACATCCTACTTTTACCCATCACATCAAGGGTATTTTTGGAAAGTCAACACAAAATTATCCCTTCCTTAATTTCAACTTTAGTCAAAACGTGTAAATCTTTTTGGGACGGAGGTAGTAACTTTTAATAATTCGAATATGGAAAAATATATGAAAAAAATGGATGAAAACAATGACTTGCCACTGCAAGGCATGCCACTCCACTCACGTGCCACTCGTTGACTAGACTATTTTTTGGTTGAAATGCTCCACGTTAGCGTGTGACATTCAATTTTTGCTTCACCATTGTTCATGCTCTAAGCTGCTTAGCTTGTATCTCAAAAGTTGTATCCTAAATTCTACACCGCAGGTATGTATTTTTATGTTGTTTTAGTGTGATGTTAAATCGATTGTTATAATCACAAAATGTTAATACAAATTTTTTAATCATTCAAATATATTATACTAATTTAAATTATCAAAATATTAATGCATAACTTTAATATAAACTAGATTTGATAGAGTATCTCTTGAAGAGTTACAAATAATTAAAATCACCCTAAATAAGACTAAAACGTTAAAAAAAGTACCAAAATAGGCCTTTCATGTTTTTTTTACTGTGGTGATGCGATTTTGCACTGTGGTAATGTGGCATATTACTATACTTTTTTTGTAATGTATATGACCATGTTTGATAATGTAAATCCTATTTCAAAAATAAAAATATGGAAATCTTATTTTAGTATATTTTCAATATTTAATCCTATTTTGATCTTTTCCCTTTAAATAAACGGTCCGGAATCCGGACAGAGGCGTTGAATATTTGAACATTCTCAGGTGAAAGCGCGAGTTTGTCAGATCCATATGAGTAGTGGACAACCTCTCGAAGCGCATAACTATTGGGTTAGTGACGACCGACCGTTCCATTGCGAGTGAAGTACATCATACTCACTCTGTATATACTTTCTTGGTTCTTAAGTAATTGTCAAAGTTTGATTTTTTCCGTCAAAAAAACATTTTATAATTAAGAATCAAATACACTTTGAAGTAATTAAATATTTTAAAAATTTGATACATCTTATGTTCTTGCTTATTTTTCTTGTTTTGACTTTTTTCAGTTAACTATTTTCAAACTTTGATATATAATTAAATAAAATATATATTGTATATTTGTTTGATAAAATAATATTCTAAAAATATTTAATATAATAAATCTAATAAAATTATTTTTTTATTAATATCTAATATCGTTTTTATTTAATTTGAGGTCAAAGTTTACCCATTTCGATAAAAAAGTTAAGAGTAAACAAATACTCAGAGACGGAGAACTATTTCAAAACTATAATTTAAAAAAAATGTAATTTTATTAAATTTAAATCATAGCAAAATATATTTTTTCTACAATACGCAATGAAAAAGTGGCATAATTTAGGGAAAAAATCCGAAATAGAACTAAAACATTGAAAATATACCAAAATAGGACTTCCATGTTTTTATTCTCGAAATAGGAGTTAACATGTATTTACATTACCAAACATAGTCGTGTACATTACCAAATAGTATAGTAATATTCTCATGTACAGTGTCACATTACTCCAGTGCGAAATTCTATTTCGGGGGGAAAACATGAAAGTCCTACTTGGATACTTTTCTCTATGTTTTAATCCTATTTAAGGTAATTTCTACCATAATCTAACTAAAAAAGTTAAGTTGTACTCTCTCCGTCCTAAAACTTTCTTCTCGGTCCGCAAAACGAAGAAAAATCCCAAGTTTTTTCAATCTATTTTATTTAAATATTGATATAGAAATAAAAAATAAAACATACATATTTAAAAACTACATCAAAAGTTCAATAAAACAAGTGGTGACAATAATATTTTATTTTATCATATAGGCCATGAAAAAAAACAAATAAATATAAATTTTCCGTGAAGTTGGAATAGTGCTCTGGGAAGAAAGTTTTAGGACGGAGGGAGTAATAATCTTTTTAGAAGGTAGAGACTAATAATGACTCCACGTATAACTAACCCACCTAATTAATTGTGCAGAGTACATACGACCTTTCTTGCTAGTACAAATAAATGAAAGATTCCACGCGTCACATTGATACTCATTCGGCCTCATATTAATACTCTAGCAGTTTAAGAAAAGAGGTTGAACAATAATTTTATTTGGTACTTCCACCATTACTTCCACTATCCCTCCGTCCGGAAATTTTCTTTCTATTTGACTTTTTACAGTCTCCAAGATTGCACTTTGACTACTAATATCTTTATTTATACATAGGTATATTTTGTAAAAATTTAATATTTGAAAACTATATATCAAAAGGAATATATTCATATTAAAGTTATATCGTGATACAATGTATTTTTTCCATATATTATAGTCAAAGTTTATAAACTTTGACCAAGATAAGTCAAATGGGAAGAATATTTCCGGACGGAGGGAGTACTTTTTTATTTTTACTTTGTACCCGTGGGTGTTGTGCGGTTGTATAAATAAAAAGTGCCTAGGAGTAAAATTTGAGTTCGATTTGTAACAATTGTGATTAGAGGTAATAATGCTAAGCATATGCCTTCTGCAAGTAACAGGTAAAGACTCCACACTTTACCACCAATCTGCGATCAAAGTCTAATTCATTTATTCTCGGTGACCGTCCAGTCGGGTTGGAAGAACCCTAAGAGATGAGGCTCGTCTTTTTTTTCACTTTGTGTGCCAAATGGTTGACTAATTATATACCGAGTACAACAATATATATCGAATTAAAATATAAAAATTATACCTCATTTTTATAATGAAAAAAATTCTTTGAATGTATTATTTTTAATTATTTTTTTAAATATATTTTAATAAATATTGTTGGTCAAACATTATACTCAAAAAATAAATCAGATAGTTAAAAATGAATGGAGGGAACAATGACTTTTGTGCCACACACGGATTTTAAAAAATTCACGTTGGTGTAATGTCCTTACTCCTTAGCTCCATGTAATAATATACTTGTATGTATGACATTTATTATGTCTTTGGTTAACCTAAGATTTACACAATACTTTTGTGTACTTTCTCCCATAAAAAATATTTTTTTTATTTTTTATTTGTAAAAAATAAATATCCATTATGTTAGAGTATATATAAAATCATTCGTGGGCCACAACCACAAGCTTGAACTTTCGATAGAGTTGGTTTCTTAACATTATATCGAAGCCTTGATAACCAAGTGGTCACAAGTTCGAAACTCAACGCCACGTAGTTTAAAAAAAATTAAGGTGTAACGTGCAAGACTCAAAAAGGTCATGTCTACACGTGAAGGGCGTGTTAGAGTATATATAAATTATTCCATAATCAAAACTACAAGCTTGAACTTTTGGTTGAATTAGTTCTATGATACGAATTAAGGAGTAGTAAGCATTTGCTAATGGTACTGACCTATAGGTCTAAACAAAATTGTTTAGACCTGGCCTAAATTCGTATAGCATTTACCCAATGACCCATTAATAAATAAGGAGTAGTAAGAGAAAAGTATAATTAATGGCCACTCTATCAATGAAAAGTATAGGTTAAGGGCAATGCTTGATTCACTAACAAAATTGTCACAAATTTCACAAACATACCATTTCACATGAAAATTCTTATTTTAAAATTATTTTAGGCTACTTCATTTTTTTTATTGATGTTCATAAATAGTAAGTTTGTGAAATGTGTGATGATTTTGTTTGTGAACCAAACATTTCCCATAGGCTAATGGTTATAGAGACAATGCAAGGTTTATTTTATGAATTAACCTAAGGGTTGTACACCAACATGAGATACTCCATTTGTACACCAAGCTAACACAGACACACACAGACACAAAATGTCTGTGTTGCACAGACATTTTGTGTCTGTGTGTGTCTGTGTTACCTTGGTGTACAAATGGGATACCCCATGTTTGTGTACCCCTAGCATTGCCCTTGTTTTATACTCAAACCTCGTAAAAAGTATTTTTTTTGAAGTGAGAATTAGTTTTTAGGACTTTTTACTATTAATCATTAAATTAATTAATAAGAACACACGTTCATGCTTATGCTAGCACGTAATGAAAGATTTTATAGTCAAATACTACTAATACCTAAGGCCATTTTACCCCTATTTTTGTGTTTTTTTAAAAACAATCCCTCGTTAGGGAGAAAATAGTATTTGTCCAGTTCTGATTTTTTTGATCAATTATTTTCAAGCTTTGACCTATAATTATATAAAATATATATTGTATATTATTTAGATAAAATAATATTTTAAAAATATTTTATTAATAATAATAAAACTATTTATGTATCAATATCTAATATCATTTTTATTTAATTTGATATCAAAATTTACCAGTTTTGACCGAAAAAAGTCAAAAATGGATAAACATTCTGGGGCGGAGATAGTATGAGCTATTTAACCCCACTAACTTTACCTAAACCGAGGTAGCTAAACAAAACAAAACTATTAATATTTCTTTTAATATAAAAAAGATAACTTTTAATATTTCTATACTTTAAAATAAATCAATACCATAATTAAAGTACTATTCAAACTACTTTTCCTATACCACAAAGGGTATTTCTATAAACTAAGAATACATAAAATAAGCTCGAATATGATTTTAAATCAAATGAAAGAACTAACCGATGATGCCAATAATATTGCGAGTAGTGTCTACAGATAGCATGGTTGTAATTGTAATTANTATTGAAAGAAATATAGAGAGGAGAAATGTGAGGGGCAATAAAACCTATGCCAAAATGCCTTTATTTATAGACCTGAGTTTTTTTTTTTTTTTTTTGTAAATGCTCCGTATGTTTATTCCCTTCAAAAGCAGTGGCAAAGGGTTGAGCATTCAATTCTAGCCTTCTAGGACACTCGCACTAATTCTATTACATGCGTGTTTATACTATCTTTTCCTTTCTTGGTTAACTCTCTACACACATTAACCATTAATTAATAAGTACTCCCTATAACTTTTAACTAAATAAATATTACTAAAGTTCTTCTCATTTTAACCTTTAAAAAATTTAAAGGAGAAATATTTTTGTGTTGACTTTCTAAAAAATAGTCTTGATGTGATGACTAAAAATAGGATGTGATGGGTAGATTGTTAGTAGAAAGGTATGATGTGATAGGTCGGGTAAAAATTAGTAGCGGAAGAAGTGGCTTTTTAGTAGAAATGAGAAGGACTTTGTGGGAAAAAATAAAAAGAAGAAGAAAAAATTTATGGGACGGAGAAAGTATAAAATTTAAAGTATCAATGTTTCAACTTAAAATAAAGAATTTATGGAGTATTATAATCAAACATATATTTTCACAATTTATAGTTAATATAATGTTTATAAAATTTGACCAGAAAAATAATACTCCATAGAAGATACTTAAGGAATGAGTAGAGTAATTTTTGATCAACTTTCTACATACTCTATCTAGTACATTATAGTCAATATAATGTTTTTGATCAACTTTCTACATACTCTACTATACAACAACAACCCAGGTGAATCTCACAACAGTGGGGTCTGGAGAGGGTGTGTGTACGCAGACCTTGCCCCTACTCGGAAGTAGGGAGGCTGTTTCCAAGAGACCCCCGGCTACATACTCTACTACAAATTGTGGAAATATATACTTGGTATATATTTAGTTATCATGTTAATTTTCGAACGCCATTCTTTTCGAACCTTTACCGAATTCAAACGAATAGGGTGAACTTCATTCTTTTCGAATATCCTGAACGCCATTTTTGTAAAAAAAAATTGCCTTGAAGAAATTGTCTTCATTATAGAGAACAACTCTTGTTGGACAATTTTTTTAAGTTTGAGGGTTGGGATTCATCGACAACAATGTTCTTCGTTGAAGTAGTTAATGAGATTCTTTAGTGAGGGAGAACAATTAAAGAAAATAAAAAATTATAATATTCCACCGGTAGGCATTGAGTTGTGTATGCCCACCGGCAGAGTTTATATCGGTTGTTGGCTGTTTGTATCGGCTGTTCTAAATAGTTGTTTAATTTAGCTGGTTTGACCGGCAGGATGAGTTGGCTGATCGTTAAAAATATTTGGTAAAATTCGCTGGTTTGATACACACACACACACACACACGATATTTGTTTTTTATTTTTTTACATGAAAAAATTAAATCGTTAGTATGTGGAGTATAAAATTTCATTTTCATATAATTCATAAGAAATTATTAATATTTAACCTTTTAATGATTTTTTATTTTGATTTTCTCATATCTTTTTTTGAAAATTTAAAATTTAATTTTTTTTTAATTTTTGAATTTTTTTAACTTTTATTTTTTACATATATTATAAAAATATCTTTCAAGAAAAATGATTAAAAAAATAATTTTTCCAAAAGCCAAGTTCAAATGCTACTCCCCTTGGCTTTTCGGATTTTTGGCATTTCAGATCAAAAAGCCAAGTGAAAAAGCCATTAGTCAAACAATGGTAAAGTCAGTCAAAGATGCCAAAAGATATTCAAAAAGCTGTTTTCCAAACAAAGCCTATATTCAACAACTGCATGTCTGCATCAATTCTTTTCTTCATCATTTTTTTCCGCCATCTGCATCACAATGTTTTCTTGTGTGATTTTTATCCATACATTTTTTTCTTCAAACTAATTTTCTTTTCTTTATTCGATGTACTTTAAACATAAATATAATTTGTATGAAAATTGAAGTAAAATTTTAAAAAATTAAATTTACACATCTAAAACAAATCAAAAGTTCTAGGAAAATAAAAGGTGTCAACAATATACATAGTACACATTATTTTATCAAATAAATACATGAAATTAGGCAAAAAAACGATTTATTTTTATAATAATATGCAATTTAGTTCTAAATGGAACAACTCCATTTAGGCTCTGTTCCGTAAGCCTGATCTGATTGAATCTGATCTGAATTTTGGAAGTTCTGATCTGATCTGATCTGATTGGGTCTGATCTGATCTGATTGGATCTGATCTGATCTGATTAGATCTGATCTGATCTGATTGGATCTGATATGATCCGATTGGATCTGATTTTCTCTAATTAGATCTGGTGTAAATGAATTTAAATTTGATTTGAATTAAACTTAAAATTATTACAAAATTTAATAATTTTAAAGTATTACCATTCATATATACATAAAAAAAGTAAAATAAGAAAATCAGCTAATCATTGATATGTTTAAACTTTTTTTAAAAAATATTAAACATCTTTTTAATATCACAACTTTTTTAATTTTTGTGAAAACTAAATATTCGGTATTAAAATAACCAAATATTAGAAAATATTGATGCTATTCTAGAAGAATATCACATTCTATATACATATTACATAATAATATATTTCATGTTACAAATTAAATATCATATAAAATTTTAAACACTAATATTCCTTTCACCTCTATTAATTTTGTCATAAACTCACCCTTGTGTATATTATACCATCTTAAAGTTTAAAAGTAAGTATTTTTAAGTATAAAATATTTATAGTTTTGAAAACTAAGTTTTGTATAATTATTTTATAAACAAGTATTTTAAAATAACTCATTTTAAAGTATGAAAAATAAAACTTTTTGAGCTTTAACATTTCTTCCATGCATCATTTCTATCCTACAAGTTAAACAATTATTAAAAATAATGGATTGTAGTTGAAATATAATAATAATAATAATAATAATAATAATAATAATAATAATATAAATAATAATAATAATAATAATAATTATTATTATTATTAGGTCTGGTCTGATCTGGTCTGATATGATTGGATCTGATCTGATTGAGTCTGATCTGATCTGATTGAATCTGATCTGATCTGATTATGTCTGGTTTGAGCTGATCTGATTGAATCTGAGCTGATCTGATCTGATTTTAATAAGAATAAGTAAAAAGTAGAAAAAATAAGACGAAACGGACCCTTAGTATAGTATGACCTAACTATAACTCATGCAACTTGTAGTCAATGACTGTGATATATCTAAAACTAGGGCTGTAAACGGATAGTCGAAAATCCGATTACCGTCCGCATCCGAATCCATTTAAAGAGGAAATATCCGCATCCGTTTTAAACGGATATTATCCGTATCCGATTAAGGACATCCGATTACTAAACGGATACGGATTTGGTAATTGAATATCCGATCCGTTTAAAATCCGATCCGAATATGCATCCGTTTAAATAACCGTTTATCCAAATATCCGATCCGTTATATATAGGTTTTCCTAATTTTTTATGTTTATATTTTGTTTTTCTATTGATAATTCAAAATATAAGAAATTTTTATATACAAAATAAATGTGTAGACACATAAAAATATGTATAGACATATAAAATATGTGTATATGTGTGTCGTGTATATCTTTTATCATATGAAGTTATCGTAGAATATCATAAATCATGAAAACAAAGAAAATAATAATCTCATACCAAATTATAGTTTATTTAATAATAGTTTGACTTTAATCTAATTTAAAATTAAAGTATTGTTTAATTTGATTTTAACAATTGGAAACGGATACGGATATATCCAATATCCGTCCGATATCTGACGGATGCGGATACGGTTTTGATTTTCAGTATCCGTCAAGATCCGTATCCGAATTCGATATCCGACAAATATAAACGGATACGGATTTGGTAATGGCACATCCGATCCGATTAATATCCGTTTACACCCCTATCTAAAACGTGATGTTCTAAAACACTAGCTATCAGATTGTCTAAGGGTCCGTTCTGGAGTACATACTAAAGTATTTACAGTCCTTATTATTATCCTGCACATTGTTTAAGGGTCCGTTTCGTAAGACTTATTTTTTCTACTTATTACTTATTCTTATTAAAATCAGATCAGACCAGACCAGACCTAATCATATCAGATCAAATCCAATCACATCAGACTCAATCAGATTAGATTAGATCCAATCAGATCAGGCCAGATCCTATCAGACCAGATCAGATCCAATCAGATCAGATCAGATCAAATTCAATAGTATCAAATCAAGAAAAAATATAAAAGATAATATTTATATTTTTTAAGGATTAAATAATAATTACTATTATTTCATTAAATCACATTACTTTATTTAAAACTACACACACCAAAATCTTAATTAATATTATAATTTTAAATATTATTGTTGTTATATTATTATTACTATTATTATTATTATTATTATATTTAAACTACAAACCATTATTTTAAATAATTGTTTAGCTTGTTGGATAGAAATGATGCATGGAAGCAATGTTAAAGATTAAAAAGTTTTATTTTTCATACTTTAAAAAGAGTTATTTTAAAATACTTATTTATGAAATAATTATACAGAACTTAGTTTTCAAAACTATAAATATTTTATACTTAAGAAGACCTACTTTTAAACTTTAAGATAGTATAATATACACAAGGGTGAGTTTATGACAAAATTGATAGAGGTGAAAGCGATATTTGTGTTTAAAATTTTATATGATCTTTAATTTGTAACATGAAATATATTATTATGTAATATGTATATAGAGTGTGATATTTTGTAGAATAGCATCAATATTTTCTAATATTTGTTTATTTTAATACCGATTATTTAGTTTTCACACAAGTTTAAAAAGTTGTGATATTTAAAAGATGTTTAATATTTTAAAAAAAGTTTAAACATATTAATGATTAGCTAATTTTTTTATTT